AGTCAAAAAATCAAATAAAAAACAAAGACTTTCAGCAGATCAGGAATTATTTTGGTTTTTTATTTGAGTATTTTTGAAGTATATAATCTGAAGTATATATTTAGAATATCAGCTGCAATAATATGCATTTTAAAACATTTTGTGAAACTAGAGCCACTCACATGCCATGCCTAAGCCCTGTAGGCAGACAACTAAGGCACAGTTTGAATTTTATACTCTTTACAAAAGTGAAATTTATATAGTATATATAGATATATATCTATCTATATATACGCACATATACCTCTAACTAATAATGATAAACTAAATGTTAACCCACCACAAAATGTGACCCTTGACCTTATCCAAGTGCCTTTGTCATGGCACAGCTGGGCGCCACGCCCTCAACTTTCAACTTTTCTATTCCACATATACAGTTAAAGTTAAGTTCGAAAAAAGTGCAATAAAACGTCGCACCTAATTTCAATTTAAAATGAATAATTGCAGCCACTTGGCAACTGACGCTGAGCTGACGCCGAACGAATTAAATACAATTTTGGTAATTTGTAATTTTGGATTTTATTTCTTTTTCTGTGCTTGCTATTTTCACTGGGCACCGACAAAGCGAAAATGTAGCCATATTTCAAGCCGGCTTCCAGGTGAGTGCACATTATTCATTACCAAACACAACAACCCCTCAGCGCGGCTAAGTCCTGTGCTCAGGCGTGCCGTGTTGATGTGCATGTTATTATCCATTATATGGTTGGAAAAAAAGGGCATAACACACACACACACACACACACAGCCCATACACACCCCACACACACCCCCCACACACACCCGCTCAGTCATCTGTTCTCCACGTTGCCTTTTTAAGTATTATTAATTGTCTGCCATGTTTGCTCCTGCCACAGGACATATGACTGGCTGTGTGTGTGTGTGTGTAACAATAGCAGTTGGCATCATATGTAACTTGCCAGCTCTAGCTGCCACTGTGCGGCATATTTGTCGGCTGTCAGGTGGCATTAGCATACGAATCTAGTTTGGAAATTCATATTTTGTTTACCTCTCGGGCCAAAGCTGCAGCTAATCTATTTCTATTTAGACCGTTTAATGGGCAGCTGATTGCTTAGGCTTGACCACGAGCTACCTTTGACCTCAACATCGACTTGCTGCAACCAAGTTGTTCTTGTAGCTGGTCCTTTGTCTAACCCCCTCGCTTGACTCTGGCGACGTATGCCATGTCATGTTCAGCTGGCTGCGCTTCCACAGGGCACTGCCACGCCCCTTAAAATTGAACTCTCGCTCACAATTTGCAAGGAAAAAGGAAAACGCAAAACCAAAAACTAATGTCAGAAAAGTGCGCCACCGCAGGCCACACAAAACAAAGGTACAAATTACAGACGAGTTCAAGTCGAATGTGGAGAGCAGACTACGAGTGGTTCTAACTAGCTCTCTCACTCACCTGCTCTATCTCCTATCTCTCTCTCTCTCTCGCTGTGCGATTTACTGGTTCAATTAGCACAGCTGAACTGGCCCATAGCTGCAGGCCGGCTACAGATCGATTTTCAGAACATTCACAAGAAGCAAAACAAAAATTGTAGAAAAATTATAGAAAACTTAGACGACTGCTAAATACCCTGCTGCTTCTTCTTCCATTTCATAATACTTATAGAGAAAGAACAATTTAGAGTTACGCACGGAGCAGCTCTGGCAATGAGTCTGATACACATCTGATAGATAAAATATCTAGATAAAATATTAAAATTATAATATATGAAGTTCAAATATATTTCTTGTATATAAACAAAAACAACAGATCTATATATAGCTTATGAAGTCTAATCTAGCTCAAGCTTTATAGAGCAAAAACCATCACAAGAATTTGATTTATAATTGACTAAGCAAAAGTGCTACTATCTACGATAACTATATATTAGCTACTGCTTAAGTTATCGATAACATTTAGCTGCTGAAATAATAATAATAATAATAATAATAATAATAATAATAATAATAATAATAATAATAATAATAATAATAATAATAATAATAATAATAATAAAAAATAAGAAATGAAAGAAAATAATCTGTTTAAAATTTGAAGTAATTTTTTGGATCTCTTCAGGCTGGCGCTGAGCTTAGCTGGCGTTAAAAAAGAAGATCTAGCAATAACAGTAAATACATCTGAGTTTCTATTACCAAAACAAAGCTCAGCTGTTCATATGTCATAGTACACATATATATAGTTATTTATATATAGTTATCCGATTCAAAATAAAATTTCAACCCACAAAACTCTATGTTCCACTCAAATACTGCCCAAGTTGACGTCACAAACTCGCTCACAAAGTCAGCATGCCCTCCACAGCAGCTTATAATGAGAGCTAAAGAAAGGTACAAGCAAGTCTTGAGGCACAGATCGAAGTGTGCATAATTTGCTTAGTTTATGCATGCAGCGGCTGAGATGAGTGAGATCATAGCTGGAGCCCGTCCATAAGTTAAGCTGTTTATATCGCCTGTGTTTGGACTCGAGTTGGGTCTACGAATGGATGCACACAATTAACTAACTCTGCGACTATTCGAATCTGGGCTCTGTCGCTTGTTGTGACACGCTAAGTGAGACACTTTGTGGTGCGGAATTTATGAGTTCTGATAGAGCGCATCGAGCTCTTAAGATACTGCCCCCTTCCGATACTCTGGATCGTGCGTTGAGCTTTCGAGCAGCTGTTGACGCAGCCGAATGCCTTCATCATTGACGAACGATCGAAGCTGAGCTCTGATCTGAGACGTAATCATTAAATACCTGGGCCATAAGCGACAAAGTGTTAATCAATTCGCAGTCGTTAACAAAATTCACAGCTTCCAATTTGGGTTAAGCAATTACGAAACTTAGCAGCTGGAGCAGCAGTTTCTGTTGACAAATACTTAGCCTAGTGGAATGCAAGTCATGATTTCTAAAGCCAGGGGCGTCTGCCCAAGGGGGGCTAGTTGAGATGCAGTCGAAACTATAACTAAGCTTTATTTTTTATGCACTAGCTACAAGCTCTTGTTGTTTATGGTTTAAATAAAGTCTTATTACTTAAAGCATGTTAGTAGCATATGAATTTATAAAAAGTTTCAGAGAAGCTTAAAATTATATTATATTAAAATTGTAATATATTAAAATTATATTATATTAAAATTGTATTATATTAAAAAAACTGGAAAAAGTATTTTAAACAAATCTTTTTCTATTCATCATTTAATAAAATTTTTTGTTAAGTATTTTGAAATACTTTACTTGTTCTCTTTAAGTAAAAGATTTTTTATATTATATATATATTATATATTATAGATATTATATATATATTATATATTATATATTATATATTATATATTATATATTATATTTTTTTATATAAAATTAAAATCAAATTCTTTTTTAGAAGGTTAGGCATACTAGGCTTAACATGACTTAAAAAGTGGCAAAATGCATTTATTGTTATTTTCCACATCTTTATTATTCTGTAACTGATTTTTATAGATTTTTTTAAAGGTTATTTAAATTTTTTTAGGGATTTGCAACAGAAATTGATTTTGGCTAGCAACAAGATGGGCTAGAAAATAGAATCTTGACATGGATAAAGTCGAGTATATATATATTTAGTATATATATATGGAAGATATGTATGTATATATATATATATATATCTATATGCATGCATGTGTATGTATATCTATGTCTGCCTCTGTTCATAAAAATAGTAGTGCTGCGTTTGTATAGTGCAGCACTACTATTTTTATGAACACAACTATTTAGCATATATAAAAAGCATATATAAATTTCTATATAATATAAATAAGTATATATAATATATCCCATCAAATTATTTGATAACTAGGCAATACTTCTATGCATAAAAATATGTTCTATATCTGTCTAGTACAGCACTACTATTTTTATGAACAATATTATATAGCATATATACATATATAAATGTCTATATTATATAAATATGTCTATATAATAATAATATATAATATGTAACAATATGTCAATATAATATATCTCATTAAAAATATATTATTTGATAACTAGGCAATACATTTATGCATGCATATATATTATATAACTGTCTAGTACAGCACTACTATTTTTATGAACAATATTATATAGCATAGATACATATATAAATGTCTATATTATATAAATATGTAATTTGTAACAATATGTCAATATAATAATACATCACATTAAAAAAAAATTATATGATGACTAGGCAATATTTGATGATGTTATGTGATGACTAGGCATCTATGCCTGCCTATATATATTCTATATCTGTCTAGCACTACTATTTTTATGAACAACGCAATTATTGAGCATTGGTCCATATAATATATGACATCAAAACTGTATTTTGTACACTGTATCTGCCTAGCACAGCACTACTATTTTAATGAACATAACTGTATAAATATATATACATGTTTTTATACACTAAAATATCGCGCCCAGAAGACATGATTTGATAGCTAAGCCTCTGGTTTTATCTACACAAAAGTAAATTCAAAATAGTTTACAATAGCTTTGATATATAAAGCAGTGTCAGAGAGAAGGAAAGAGAGTGAGAGAGTGAGAGAGAGAGAGAGAGAGAGACCATATCAGAGAACAAGTTCAACAGTTGTAACAAAGAAGCTTCAGTTGCAGCGCGCAGCAAAGCTTTAATTAAACGACACAAAGAGAAAAAGTATAAGTCATATAATACACACACACACACACACACACACACACACACACACACACACACGCACACACACAGTTGTTTAGATTGATTTTGATATGAGTTACCTGCGCTAGTCAAGCGGAAAATATGAAATTAGCGGAATTTCACTCGCTGTAGGCTGAGCTACTTAGCACATGGGCCCAGAGAGAGAGAGAGAGGGAGAGAGAGGTAAAGGAAGAGCAGAGAAACGCCTCACAGAGAGAGAGAGAGAGAGGGAATCTGAACGAGCGCATTCAGTCTACTGCGAACAGTCGATCATGGCGCTTTGGTGGCTAACGCTCGGACTGCTGCTGGTGCTGCTGGCGCTGCTCTACGGCTGCCTGGAGCGCACCTACAGCTACTGGGCGCGCGAGGGGGTGCTGCACGAGAAACCCGTTTGGTTCTATGGCAATTTGCGCAGTGTGGGCCAGACGACCACGGTGCTGGAGCCGTTCCGCCGCTTCTACGAGAAGTACAAGGGGCAGGCGCCATTCGGTGGCTTCTACTTTGCGCTGCGCGGCGCTGCGGTGCTGCTGGACCTGGAGCTGGTGAAGCTGGTGATGGTGAAGGAGTTCAATAACTTCTCACATCGCGGCAACTACTACAATGCCGCCGACGATCCCATATCGGCGCATCTGTTCAATTTGGATGGGCCGGAGTGGCGGGAGATGCGCAACAAGCTGACGCCCACGTTCACCTCGCTCAAGATGCACCAGATGCTGCCGACCGTCGTGGCGATAGCCGAACGCTTCGTGCAGGTGGTGCGCAGACAGGTGGAGCTGTTCGAGAGCGCCGAGGAGTCGCCCGTGGAGGTGAAGGATCTGCTGGCGCGCTTCACCATGGACATCATTGGCAGCTGTGCCTTCGGCCTCGACTGCAACAGCCTCAACGATCCCGACGTCGAGTTCTGTCGCCTGGGCCAGAAGGTGTTCACGCAGCGGCGCCATGGCCGCCTGGCCTTCGCCCTGCTGCAAACCTTTCCGCGCCTGGCCAAGCGGCTGCACATCAAAATGGTGCCGGACGACGTCAGCCAGTTCTACATGCGCGTGGTGCGGGAGGCCGTCGACTATCGGGATAAGCATCGGGTGCAGCGCAAGGACTTTCTCAATCTGCTGATGGAGCTGCGCGCGGAGCCAGGTGGCGGCCTCACCTTCAATCAGCTGGCGGCGCAGGCGTTTGTCTTCTTTCTGGGCGGCTTCGAGACGAGCTCCAGCACCATGGGCTTTGCCCTCCATCTGCTGGCGCTGCATCCCGAGGTGCAGCAGCGCGCCAGAGACGAGGTGCAACAGGTGCTCGCCAGGCACAAACAGCTCAACTATGAGGCGCTGCGCGACCTCAAGTATGTCAAGCAAATTGTCCAAGGTAAGTCGAGATCTGCCGAGATACCCTGTAAAGACTTCAGCCAACTGCTGTTCGCTCTATCCGATAGAAACGCTGCGCAAATATTCGATCGCCTCCATTTTGATACGACGCACGCTCGAGGACTTTCCCGTACCGGACTCAAGCTACACACTGAAGGCCGGCACACCTGTGGTCATACCTGTCGATGCCATACACCATGATCCGGACATTTATCCGGAGCCGGACAAGTTCGATCCCGATCGCTTCACACCCGAAGCCATCGAGGCGCGTCACTCGGCCGCTTGGCTGGGCTTCGGCGCTGGGCCCAGGAACTGCATCGGACTGCGCTTCGGTGAGATGCAAACGTTGGTGGGTCTGGCGGTGCTGCTCCACAACTTCAAGTTCTCGCCAGCCAAGGCCACCGAAATACCCCTGCAAATAAACAAGACCAGCTTCTTCCTGCAATCCCAGGGCGGCATCGTGCTCAATGTGCGGAAAGCCTAACGGAGTCCAAATGGCAAGGAAAACTTAGTTCAATTCAATAAATAATTTATTTATATATTTTATTACATTTTAATATTATTGCCCACATTATTTTTATTTTGTCATTGCATTTGCTTTTAATAAAATATTTTTTTTCTATTTAATCGATTCGTTTTCTCTAAGCAACCTCTGAGAGGAAGCCGAACGCTTATCAAAGCTTTGATTTGCTACAGTTTGTTGCAACATTCATTCCGTTAGTTCTATGAGTTGAGCTCAAAATGTCAGTCATTGTTGGGAAATATTCGAATACTTGCTCAGAATGAGCCAAAGGGGTATATGGGTGGGAGAGTGTTCGAGTTGAGTTCTATCTAAGGGACATACTCGAAGCTTAGCTGGCTTAATTAGGGTAAGGAATCAGAAAGAGAGAGGGAGGGGGTGAAAGAGAGAGAGGGGGAGAGAGGAGGTAAGAGAGAGAGAGGAGATAACAGGGTGAGAGAAGGTAAGATAGAGCAAGCAGGTAAGAGGAGGAAGGAAAAAGGAAAGAGGAGAGAGAGAAAGAAGGAGGAGTGAGGGGAAGTGAGAAAGAGAGAGGAGAGAGGAAAGAGGAAAGAGAAAAGGAAGAAAAAGAGATTGGAAGAACGAGGCAGGAAGAGAATGAGGCAGATAAAGAGAATGAGACAGAGAGAGGGAGGGAGGAAGTGAAAAAGAGAGAGGAAGTATCAGAGAGAGGGAGGATGAAAGAAGAAGAATGAACGAAGGAGGGAGACATAAGGGGAGAAACTGAAGGAGATGAAAAGAGAACGAAGGAAATAGAGAAAAAGAAATAGAAGGACTGGGACAGAGGGGGAGAAAGAGAGTGAGAGAGTGAGATAGAGATATTAAGATATAGAGAGAGGAGAGCGATGAAAAGGGGAAACGAGAGATAGACAGATAGATATATAGATAGAAAGAAATAGATAAGTAGAGACGAAGAGTGAGAGTGAGAGAGAGAGAGAGAGATAGATATAAAGAGATAAATGGAGAGAGATAGCAAGAGTGCTAGATAGATATAGATACAAAGAGATATAGAGAAATAAATATAAAGGCAGATAAAGACATAGACATGTTAGAGCTGCTAAGTTATAAAGGAGCTTTAGCTAAGTCCCCAACACAACTTTTGCACTGCTAAACATTAATAGTTGAACAGTTGCCCAAACTCACCCCCAGCTAGAACTGTCTTCGGGTGATGAATAAATTATCAGACACTTCAACAGGCAGTGACACTATAAATGAAGTATGACTGTCGCCCAGGTGGGTAGACATAATCATGCATGCAACTTAATTAGCTATGCGACCTGTTGTCGATGGGCTCGTTGAGTTATGTCTGTCGGCTCGAGTTGGCTCTGCACAGCTGCTCATGATTTTTGTCACACAATAAATTATGCAATTTCAATCGCGATCAGTCGTTCGACCTGTAAAGACGTGAATTCGAACAGCCTTCGCTTAAGCTCTACTGCTGCAGAGTTCTAAAAATAGAACTTTGCGGTGCATTCTTCAACGCAACAGCAACAAAAACCGCACACGCAGCGTTTTCTTATCGCTTGCTTCCGCGTAACTCAATTGCTTTAATTGCAATTTACGAAATTTCGTCGCTTGGCGCGAGTGCGCCTGCACTCAAAAGCACAATCCGCGATGACATCTAATGTCAATAACCTCGCTACAGCTGTAAAGGTAAATGCAGAAATGCAAGCCCAGCTTAACGTTGTGATGGCAAATAGGCAAGCCTCCATCATGCCAATAAACTCAAAAATAGATATCGCCTCCGTGCAAGGCATCACTAACAACAAAAACACGAAACGTAAACAGCCAAATTCACCAAAAACCATCAAGAAAAGGCTCATCTTCGACGAACCAAGCACCAGCAATGCAGCATTAATATCAGAAAATCGATTTTCACTGCTCGTAGAAGAAGATGAAGACTACAGCGAATCACCTGTAGCTCCAGAAGCCCCAGTATTGACCGACCAGCAAACTACTCCGAAACCTCGTCCGCCCCCCATATGGTGTCCAAACATCAAGTCTGTGGCCCTACTTCAACAGATAATAGATAAAGTAATTGATGCTAAATCATACGTAATTAAGCCAAAGAAGAATAACATAGGTGTATTAACCCAATGCAGTGAGGACTATCGCAGAGTTATAGACCACTTTACTAAGCTGGAATTGGAGTTCCACTGCTACCAGCTTAAGGAGGACAAACCATATAGAGTCGTGTTCAAAGGGCTTCACTCCAGCACTGATACAACACTAATTAAAAAGGAATTGGAAACCAAAGGCCACACAATTACAAATGTGCACAACCCACTGAGCCGTATGGACAAAACACCGCTAAATATATTTTTTGTTGACGTGGCTCAGGCCCCCAACAACAAAGAAATTTTGGACATTCGAGTTGTCTGCAGGCAACGCTGCACAGTGGAACTGCCAAGAAGATACAACGACCTGACACAATGCCATCGCTGTCAAGAATTTGGACACACACAACGCTACTGCCACAAAGCTCCCAGATGTGTGCGTTGCGCCGGGAAACACGCATCCAAAGACTGCACCCGCGAAAAGGACCAGGCACCAACTTGTGTGCACTGTGAGTTACAGCACCCAGCCAACTATAAGGGCTGCCAAGTATACAAGCGGTTGCGCAAATTGCAATCCCCAGCACAAAAAAGGAGTCCCACACAAACACCGTCTACGGGTCCGAGTACTGCTTCCGAAATTACAAGGCCCCGGAGCATTACCCAAGCCACGAGCTTTGCAACGCCTATTAGTGGTGTTTCTTACGCACAGGCCGCTAGAGGTGGACCGTCAAATAAGAATACCACAAGTGACACTTTGTTCACTGAAATGCTTCAGCAACAACAACGTCAGTTTGACGCAATTAATGCCGAGCTCAAAGCGATGCGAGAAGTACAATCCCAACAAGCAACCATGCTAAACAGTTTAATGGCCATCATAACCAAGCTTGCCTACAAATAATGGCTTTACGTGTGGGTATCTGGAACGCCAATGGCCTGAGAAACAAGACTCAGGAACTGGCTGCGTTTCTCTCACAAGAAAACATAGATATAATGTTAATAACAGAAACTCATGAGTGCCCCACTACACAAATTTTCGGATACGAACACTATCAGGCTCATGGTGAAGGAGCAAACTGCTTTGGTGGATCCTCAATCCTCATACGAGCAACAATACCGCATACACCTTTACTGCCAATTTGCAACGCAACAATGCAGGTCTCAGCCATCACCCTGCCTACGTCTATTGGAGCGATCGAAGTTGCGTCAATTTATCTTCCGCCAAACACTGGTCTGTGTGATCATCACATGGAACAGGTTCTAGGCCAAAGGTTGAATAAGACCCTCATCGGCGGCGACTGGAATGGATGGCACCCATTTTGGGGAAGCAATAGTGCGAATCGTCGCGGAGAAGTCATATTTGAGGCGATTCAAAACTTACAATTCAGCATATTGGCGACTGGAGCCCCCACCCGTTACCCAATTAATGGACACAGGCCCTCGGCAATCGACTTCGCTGTCTACAAAGGCATCTGTGACCGGCAATTGACCATTGAAGAATCCTTGGACCTATCCTCTGACCACCTGCCACTAATAGTCACAATCCACGCGCAGCCACAGCCCTTGCCCATTAGGAAACAACTACTGCCAGCAGGATCAGATTTAGGAGTCTTTAGGCGCGAGCTCCATTACTCTTTGCACATAGAAATGGAACTTAACACTCCTGAAGACGTGGACTACGCAGCAAACAAACTGCAGGAAGAAATAGTCAAAGCTGCGCACCAAGCCGCCCCACCATCTTGCCAAACAAGACAACAGTCTCCGTACAACATCCCCCTCACCTTGGAGGCCCAACACCTACTAATACACAAAAGATGGGCCAGGAGACGCTGGTTAAGATTACGCACGCCTGATGCCAAATCCATGTACAACGAAGCCACGAGGCATCTTAAAGCTGCTCTCGCCCTGCTTCAAAAGAGGTGTATCAGCGATGCGCTGGTACGAGCTGAATCGCCCACTGACGCAGAGTTTCAATTATGGAAATTTACAAGAAAGCTCAAACGGCAGCCAATACGACGTCATCCCATTCGGAGCATTTCTGGTTCCTGGCACATTGGAGACGAAGCTCAAGCTGAGGCTTTTGCAAACCACCTTCAAGACCAATTCACGCCGGTGATTACCGCAGAGGCCTCAGAAATCGAAGCAACAGAAGACATCGTTCTCTCGCCCCTCCCAGCTGAAGACCAGATAACTGGATGTACAAAAGAAGAGGTTCTTGAACACATCAGAAGAGTGAAGGCAAAAAAATCCCCTGGATATGATCTAATAAACGGCAGAGTCCTTAGAGCACTGCCTGACTCCACCATAGACTACATAACTATGGTGTACAACGCCATGCTCCGCATCCGGCACTTTCCAGCCTGCTGGAAGCGCGCCGTGATTGTGATGATTCCTAAGCCTGGCAAACCCGTGGGAGAAATTGAGTCGTACAGACCAATTAGCCTGTTGCCAGTACTCTCCAAAATATTCGAAAGAATATTTCTGGAACGAGTACTGACACATCTGGGACGCCAGGAGGCCATTCCAAACCATCAGTTTGGCTTCAGGAGACAGCATGGAACACCGGAACAGGTTCACAGAGTTGTGCACCATATCCTTGGAGCCTTTGAAGAAAAGATGTACTGCTCTGCCGTCTTTTTAGACATCAAACAGGCGTTTGATCGAGTTTGGCACCTGGGACTGCTGCAGAAAGTGAGGACCACCCTTCCAGCCCCATTTTTCGCGTTGCTATCCTCATACCTTATTGGAAGAACCTTCCAAGTGTCAAGGGGGCAAACAGTATCCTTGACTAGACCAATTATGGCTGGAGTACCACAGGGTAGTGTTCTAGGCCCAACACTTTATACTTTATTCACAGGAGATATGCCAACTCCCGAGCCAAATATAGGAAGTACAGATGCAGTACTCATAGCGACCTATGCAGATGACACCGCCATCTTATCACGTCACGTATCTGCGCAAGAAGCTTCA